TGTTCTTTGTGAAATTCCATAGTGGGACCAGGGTCCTTACAACATCATTATTAATAGAACATGCTAAACTTACAGTTCTGAATAATAATGAGCCATGAAATACGTGGTGCAAGATGAATATTTAATGCCTTTGAGTACAGTGCAGTGGAATATTTATGTATCATTATTGTGCCACTTTGCCCAAGCAGTTCATTCTGCAGCTGTTTGTTCTACAAAAGTATTAATTAACTCTTGCAGGCAAACAGTAAAGGGTGGTGTCATGGAAACAGAACTCGTGTGTTTGAATTTATTCTCATGTTTTCTCTTTGTTTGCTTTGATTCTTCCCCAGAGGGGGATGAGGTGGGACCTGGGATCACAGATGACACTGAAGATGAGAATTCAGCTAATCAGATTGCTGGGAAAATCCCCAACTTCTGTGTTTTATTACATGGCAGCCTGAAAGTGGAAGGCATGGTGGCTCTCGTCCAGTTGGGGTATGGAGCTGGATGTCTGCCTAAAAAATCTCTTACTTTGCTCATTTAGGCTTTATTTATAAATTATGCTTATTTATATCTGTATTCTCTGCAGAACTCTGCACTGCTAGACTAAGCTGTGGATTTTTAATTGCAGATTTGTTTCTGTCAGTACAAATTGCAAACATTGAGCCTCCACACAGTGAGAGGGAGGCACATTCTAGGCAGAGGGGTGGAAGATTTTCAGCCTTTGAGGGTTTGTTGTTTTCCACAGACCAGAGTGGTATGGAATGCTTTATTCACAAGCTGATAGCAAGAAGAAATCAAACCTCATGATGTCACTCTTTGAACCTGGTCCTGAGCCCCTCCCATGGCTGGGGAAGATGGCACAGCTTGGCCCCATTTCAGGTACTGGTCACACTCCTCTGAATAATTCTTGCACATTCAGTGTTGTGTGAATGATCTTGACAACTCTTAGTTGCTAAGCCTATAATTTTTTTCTCCCAGATGCAAAAGAAAACCCTTATGGGGAGGACGACAATAAGAGCCCTTTCCCTTTGCAGCCCAAGAACAAGCGCAGCTACGCTCAGAATGTCACTGTCTGGATCAAACCCAGTGGCCTTCAGGTAATGATCCAGGTTGTGCTGCTTTACCTGGAGCAGCAGGAGCCATCTCAGCAGGAACTGCAGTCTGTGCATGTCTTGCCCATTTAATGTAATTGCTTTATTGCTTTTCTTTCATTTTTATAAACACTGCCTCTTTACAATGTCATGATTAAAATGCAATCAGAAAGCATAGCTTGGTTAATGAGAGCTGTGTCTCCAGTGGAGCATCTGGCTTGGTTTATTGGATTTAGTATAATTGCCAGTTATATTTCAGCCTTTGTGAGCTGCAGTCTTGTCAATGGTCAGAATAATTTATCCATGGAGTTTGGGGGTTGTTCTGCAGCTTCCCCCAGAAGCTGCCAAGATTTTTGGATTTTTTTTTTCCCTCTTTTCTGCAGACGGATGTACAGAAGATCTTGAGAAATGCAAGGAAACTCCCTGAAAAAACACAAACCTTCTATAAAGTGAGTAACATTCCAGGCTGGCCAAAGTTTGGTCCATAATGATGGTTTTGCTTTTGACAGAGGAACCCCTGTGTGTTCTGTGCAGGCTTGCAGTGCTCTGCAAAAACTTACAGACCGGTTAGGTGAGACAAGGGGGTCTCATTCAGTGGTCTGGAACTACATTTTCTGGCATAGATGTGTCATGTCTACAAGTGCCCCTCTGCTACTTCCATGGTGAAACTTCTATGCTGTTGTCCAGTCAGAAATTAACTGAGGGATCAGAGAGGAATAGCAATACAGATACCATTCTGAGTCTTGAAAATGTCTTCTTCATTTTATCTACAACTGAAGCAGAGAAAGACAAAGTTCCAGGCACATTTGACCACACCATAATGATCCATAACCAGACTGTAGCTGGAGGTAATTATTCCTTTTGCAGGCTTAGTGCTGAAGCAGTTTGGTATTGCAGCCTCCAGAGACTTGATGAATGAATACCCTGCCTAAATGCACATAAGCACTGTTCAGCTTATAGGGAAGAAAAATCAATGTATCTACATTTTACTGGACACTGTGGTTAAACAGTCAGTGGAGCCTAAGCTGGAGCCCTGCTGGGACAAGACAAAGCAGGCAGGTACAATAGCTGAATGCACAGAAGGACGAAGTGGAGGTTTATAGGAAAGGATCAAAGGAAAACCACTGTTATCTTCAGCCCTGATTTTCTATCCATGAGCAGCTGGGCAGTTTCCAGCAGCTGCACTGTGAGTAACATCACCTTTAAAAACAGATACAAGAAACCCACGTTTGATGTCGAGGCTTGGAGTGGCTTTAAAAGGGGTTTTGTGTCTTTGCAGGAGCTGAATCGTTTGCGAAAGGCAGCTCTGGCCTTTGGCTTCCTGGAGCTGCTGAAGGGAGTGGCAGACATGCTGGAGAGGGAGTGCACCCTGCTCCCCGACACCGCCCACCCCGACGCCGCCTTCCAGCTCTCGCACGCGGCCCAGCAGCTCAAAGTGGCAAGTACTGGAGCCTCGGAATACGCTGCCTATGATCACAACATTGCTCCTCTGCAGACAGACTTTTCCAGTAGCAGCACTGAGAGAATGTGAAGTCTCCTTTTGGGAGCTTCTCTAGAGGGTTCAAATTTTATTCTGTTTACTTTTTAGGGCCTGTTCAATCACTGTTTGAAGAACTTCTTATCCAAATGGGGAAGTTTTGCATCAGTGCTCTCTAAACAAAAGTAGCTCGTTTGTGGTGGCTTTTAGTCAGACCTGGAAACTGTGGAAAGTGTCCCAAACCTAGTACTGGTGTTGGATGATGGGTGGAAGTTACTTGGTACATGTGAGGAGAGAAAAAAAATGCCACTGGAGGCAGCTCTTGGGTTTTGGCCTCCCCAAAATGCAGTTACTACGTAACTGGACTCACTGGTGAAAGTATCCTAAAAGGCAGCTACTAGACTTTAAACATCAACTTGATTAGTCCAAAGGTGTGAGGAGCACCCTGCAAGATCAGATACAGAGCTGATTTTGGGGTGTTGGCCCTGACTTTATGCCCAGCTTGACAGACAGTACTGAGCATTATCACTTGCACTGCAGTGCTTATGCTTCTGAAAATAACTTGATCTTGGGACACATGTTTTTTTATTTGCATAATACAAATAAAGAGTAATTCTTCATGAAAATTTAAGTTGGATTTGTTCTGTTTTCATAGCAACCAGGTTTGTGGCCCAAAACACTGACCTCAGTGTTTTGACTCAGGTTCCCAGCTGTTTATCTCAAGTTAAATATCAAATTATACAACTTCTCAGAAAGTCATATAATTTGAAAGAACAAATGACTGAACTAAAACAAAATTTGGTTGTAAATCTTTATTAATAGAAACACATTCTTTCTGAAGGATTAAAATTCAGTAGTGTAAGATCCATGACAGCTTGCACTAGGTACCACAAGTTCACTGATGAATACATATGGATTTCATAACAGAGGTTTAAATGCCCAGCAGAGAAATTAAAGTATTCAAGTGATCCTTGCTGTTCTGTTACTCAGCTAATTCAACCCTTTCACATACTTCAAACATAGGTACAGTGTGTGCTAAGTGAAATAATTGTGTAAATAGTGCTCAACTCTCCTGAGTAAAGTAGGCTGTGCTTCTCCCAAAGAGAAGTTGAATCATGCCTCTTGTTGACAGAACACAATTTGTGAAATGGCAGCATGAAGCTTGTACTGCTCCTTTGTTAAAGTCTCCTTATAACACTATTTCATTTACAGTAACAAGCACTGGGTCCATATCACAAACTTTCTGCTGTTTGTTACTTTTAATATATATAAAATAATTTTCTGGAGGGTTCATATTGTTTTACAGTAGAAAAAGGTAAAGAATAACATGGCACTAAGCTAATCTCAGCTTCAGTGTCTGTCCTGGATTGCTGGCATTGCTCTGCAGTGCCCTGAGGCAGTGGCAGTTGGGAAACAACCTGTTCATAACCACAGCACAGTTTAGAGTAAACTTTCTGGACATTTCTAAACTGGGTTAAGAAGGCCAGAGGAATCTGGGATTAGTTACTTGAGGCTCAGGGTGAAGAACCTTACTAAGATTTGATATGTGCTATCTAAATAATTTATTTGACCCCCTGTTCCATCCCCTCAGGGTCCAGTCAAACCATACACACCAGCCTCTCTGCAGCACCCCTAAATGTAGGTAGAAAAGTGACTTTGCTGCCTTGCTGAATGCTGTAAATACAGGAGCCACTGCCCTGCCAGGATGGATCAGAGGGGCCCCATCTCCCATGAGAATTCCACATTCTCCCTTTGCATGGGTTGGATGGAGTTCTGTTGGGGCTCACCTGCCAGGGAAAAGCTGATACCTATGTTCCATTGCTTTGTTATGTTTCAGTGCTTGCTCTACCAACCAGGAAAGCATTTCTGCCCTCAGTGGCAGCTTCCTTCCCCTAATGACTGGATAGGATATGTTGCTACAGGAATACACATTGCTATGGCCCACACAGAGCTCCTGGTACGGCTCAACTAGAAACAGACTAAGTTGGTAGCATTTAAATCAGCATTAGCTACTTCCAGTTTTAATTCTGCACCATCAGTATTACTGATTACCATCAGTAATGCTGCAGAAGAAAAGGGGGGTATTTGCTGAGCAGGTTTATCCCAATGGTTGAAAAGCACCCAAACACTGCACAGTGGCCTCAGACTGTGCCTCCTCCTGCCATCAAGATGCCTCCCAGGAACAGCACAGGCCAGCTAAGAGCATATCCCACATCAGAAGCCCTATCTGCATGCAATATTGAAAGAGCAAATCTCCAATTAAAAGATAAACACTATTTCTAGTTAGTGCTGCTCCACTGATTATAAGCATATCATATGCAGATAATAGGATTTCTTTCTAATATGCTGGTTGACAGGATATAAGTTTAAATGTTCAATGGTAAATGCCATGCATAGATGATGGAAAGGGAACAAAAACCAGTATAAGGGAATGTTACCTGAATTCACTATGAAATCATGAAATCTAGCGTGGCCATTTAATTTTACAAAATTCTTTGCACTACAGTGGGTAAAACCGTAAGAATTAGAGGCTTATCTTGTCCCCAAGTGAGATAAGAAAGCAGTCCTGCTTCATTTCATCTTTCTCTTCTTTGGTCCAAGGTGCTGTTTCCTTTGCTTGTAGAGGTGACGGAAGTTTACAAATACTCCTGGAAAAGAATGAAGTGTTTAGGTAGGACATAACTGCATCTTTTCATGCTAAATGGCTGTACCAAATCTGAAAAAATAAAAACCCCAACCACCACAAAACAAATTATTTAGGGGTGTGTATAGCAGTGAAAGCTAACTCAAGTGTTCTCTTGCTGGCTGAGGCAGGAGTTGCTGCACAGGCTGTCTAAGGAGGATGAACCAGGTATTTCAGAGTGAAACTCAGCTGAAGGGTGGCTTTAAGGAATGTCTGTGAGCAGGAGAAATCTAGTGAAAATTCTCAACTGGATTGTGGTGAGTTGTGGATACCCAGAGTGGGTACAAGGAAATTGAATTGTATTTACAAATGTAACACCAGAAACCAAGTGTCTCTCAAGCAGGTTTACTTCTTTAAATATACTATTTAAAGACAGTTCTATACTGTTTCCTGGAAAAACATGAAAAAAAATTCATGTTGCATTTGTGATTACACTGCAACATTTAACAAAATTACTTGAATCTGAAATTATGTTTAGATTGCCACTAGATCATTCCAAAGCTCAAGTGCCCCATAAAAGGTGAAACTAAGTGTACTATGTTTATAAATACATGTAAAAATGACTCATTTAACCCAATTTGTTAGCACTATTACCTTTTTGGAGGTTAATCAGAGCTGTGTTCCCCTCCATCACTGACAAATTTATATGAACAATCCACAAGGATAATGCTTAACCTCAAGCAATTTTGTGTTGCCATGGGACCCAAGATGCAAGAATTTAATTTTCTTTGAAAAATCAAGTTATTCACGGGAAACTCACCTTTTTATTTCAATATTGAGAAATACATTAAATACTTACCTAAAAACAAGGCTATAAGAAATATTTGAAGCACAAATGGAAACTGGATTGTGACGTTCAGTGGATTTGGCAATCCCAAGCTAAATTTCCCTGTTTCACTGAAGATTGGAATGGACTGAACAATACAGACAGCTGAAAGCAGAAGGTCACCATCACTACCAAGTACAGATAAAATATATAATTACCCAGCCCACACCAACTATTTCAGCACAGTCCCTTCTTATTTGCCAGCACTGATTAATGACAGCAATTTTGAAGGTGTTGAACATGCAGTAGGTTGGGAAGCACCTGGGTGAGGGGGTGCAGCACTGAACCTTCCTGGTGAGAGACTGTTCTCACACACAGCTGCAGCCCCAGGGCCTGTGCCAGCAGCATCTGCCATCCAGAAATACCCCAAGCAATGAAACAGGCCCACTCCTCCCCCTGCTCGGCGTTGGGCAAGACACAAAGCTCCTCCTGGCTCACAGACACAGGTTTGCAACACAGGAATAAGCCTCTGCCTGTCTTCTGCAGTGATTTACAAGATAATACCAAGACTTAGGAGCTGGTGTGAACCCAGGCTGGGCTGAGCAAGTCAGGCCCAGCAGACAAAGCTTTGGGTCAGCAGAGGGAAGTGAGCACTGGCATCCTGTGCAGCTTGTTCTTGTTCCATTTGTTCATGCAACCCTTCACTGCCTTTGCTTCCCCTCCAGAAAGGGAGTCTTTCCTCCAAAAGGAAGACTTCTTGTCACATCAAATTGAAAATAATATTTGATTCAGTATGAAAGACAAAATGCTTATATTTGGTTCACCTCAAAGCAAATCTGTTTATCTGTTGTTCTATTTTACTACTTTTAAGTCCAGCTGCCAAAAAAGAGATTTGAGTTATTTTCCCAGCCTCAAATTCATTATTTAGTAAACTATTTTAAGGAAATACCTTCTGCCAAGCCCCCTAAGGGGTAGAGAGGGATCCAGACAGTGTAACGGAGCCAGGTGAGTGGTTTCCATTCAATGCCAATGCAGGAAAGCATGTAATAGGGATACCTACAGTGTGAGGAGAAACAAACACTTTAAAATGGAAACTACTCCTAGACTTAGTCCTGTGTATATACAGTGTGTGCTCAACACAATTCCCAAATGACACAAGAATATTCAAGGAATATCATCCCTGTGGATGATGATGGACACACAGTTATTGATTGGGCAGTTTACAGAGCTCAGGCCTTTCTGAGCACAGGGATGAAGACAACTGCCTGGCTGCCTAATAAACCTTTCAAAATAACTTCTTTTCAAAGATAAAGACCTCATTTAACAATGGGAATTCAAAGCAATAAAGAAATAAAACAACAGGGCAGTATCACTTTCAGACTCCAGCCCTGCCTCAGCTTTTGGCAAATGAAGGAAGGCTGTGGAAAGTCCATTACTCAAGGAACTTTTACCCTCTGGGCCAACTCTTCCAAAAAATACGAAGATCAAAATCTTCTTTACAGAGTTCTTGGGAACAAACACTTTGTTCTGTGCACACTTGGTAGGAGGAAAATTCCACCAACCTGAACAGCTCAGAGATACTCCAGAAATAAAATATGAAGAACACCACAAGCTTCCAAGGATAACGAACAAAACAAAGTTTCTTCCAAATACCTATTAAAGAAAAATATATTGAGGAACATTCACTCTTCATCAAAAGAAAGGGCAAGTCCTTGCTGTCAGAAACACAAGATATCTACTCCTCAGACATCTGAGCACACAACTAATTCTCAGCTGAGCTGTGACCTGCTCCTTACAAGTAGGCATCTTGCTCTGTAGTTAGGTACAATCCAAGGGATCCAGTCTTAAATCACCAATCCTCACTTTTATGCGCAACAACCACAACCAGAATAAAAAGGGCACTGGCACCAAATCAGAATCATGTACTTTTATCAGCTTCTTGCTTTTGCTGTCCTGCACTTTACCCAGGTGATGGAAGAAAATAAACATTTCCTTCAAACATAAGAGCAAGGAGAAGAATTTAAAAATACTACCTGCACTACAGAAGGTATCAGTGGTGTTCTGACTAGTCCTATTAGTGAATTCATGATCTCCATTAATGCCAGGGTCTGACAGAAATACATCATATCAGAAATAGTGTGAAATGTGTCATAGAAGGAATCTGTAAGACATAGGAAACCAACCATTTTAGAGAACAAAATGAATTTCCATGCTCAGGAAGCTGGTGCAGCAGCACAGCTTGTGATAACAGGATTCTAGTTGCATTTGTGAAAAACATGATGCATAATTACATAAGTTCTTTACAGGCCTTATCTTGAACTCACAGCAGTTGGGCCAGAAACACTGCCCCGTTTCACACACAGAAGAATCAAGAGCTATTTCAGTAATTGCTTTACAGAAAAGGCAATAGTGCTGTACCTCAACAGAATGGATTTTCTTGCTTCAAAAACAAAATATTCTGTCCAGATCATTTTCAAAAACATTAACATTGCAGTCAGCGAGACATTTTGCTTCAGCTGATTTTGTTAGAAGTGATCCTGGCAGAGCACAAGTATCATTCACAGAGCACACAGCTGTGACTTACAAGGGGACAGTATTTTCCTGCCCTTGACACTTTAATGACCTTTGAAGGGCTTTCATTGTGCTCTTTGGCAATGCATTCGTGGTTTTGTTCCTAAATATGTCTCCCTTCAGATTTTTCTATTTTAAAAGTCTCAAAAAAACCACTGAAAATCAACTCAAACCCTCCAATATAAATAAAATAGTGCTCATTACTTGCCTTTTCCTAAGATGAACAGTCGAACTGTCATGTTCACAAAAATCCAAGAGAATCCCAAGAACTGTACAAGATTATACATGATTAGGTATCCCTTCTTCAGGTGTTTGAAAGCTAAAATCAATAATAAACACATCAGGTGAGCAGAGTACAATGGTAATAGAGCTGCAAAGCAGTCTTTCTGAGAATAAAGCTTATAAGGAAAAGGGAAGTTATTGATTGTGATAAAAGTATTGTTGGGTGCACTGGGGGTTCTGCTTTTGCCATCATCTGCCAGAACTCAATTTTTGGTAGTCAGATTTTTGACATTCCTTGGAAACTTCAGTCCATTTTTATTAAATTTCTAATAGCTCACAATACAAAGATCCCCCTCCAAGATGCAGCAAGCCACTCAAAACTGCTCCTTAGGAGTCGAGGCTCACAAACTGAACAAACTTTCTAAATCCCATTCACCCACAAAAAAGATGCAGTTACTTACGGTCTTTTGGGACTCTGGAATCTATTTTCATTTTGTTAATCTTTTCTTCTTCCTTAAGATGAAGGATAAGGTTTTAAAGACTTACTGTAATTAGCAAGCGATTTGTTAACTATACTGCTGCAAATCTAGTGGGTTTAAAACTCAGCCAAGCAGCCAGTAGCTAGAAGGTTTAAATTTTCACCAGCATAAAACAGCACATTCATCATCCAAAAATTATAGTATAGCAGAAGCCAGAGGGTGTTAACCAGTTATCCTGCCCTCATCATGTGGTTTGTTCTAGTAATTAGACGCTTTGCTGAAAAAGCTTCTGCTTTCTGTGTTAATTCCCAGTTATGACTGTGCTGTTTCTTACATGACCCACCAGCAACCTGAAGAGAACAGAGAACATCCAGCCCAGCTTCTCTGCCTGCCTTTCCCAAGCTCCTGGGTCCTGGCACTGCAGTGCCCCTCCCTGCTCTGTGCTAAGCTCTTGGCTGCAGAGGGGAACAGGGCAGTGTTTGTTGTGAAAGGGATTTGCAGGAATGTGGTCTGTTCAAGTCCTTCCCAAGTCCATCTTGCACCTCCCCACTGCAGTAAGCTGCTCAAGCTCACCAGAAGGTGGGAATGCACCAGCAGGGCCAGCCCAGGGGCTCAGGAAAGCCTTAGCAATCCCTGCTTCGCAGACAGACAATGCCCAGGACTCACTCCTTTGGGCTCCACATGGCAGAGTGACACAGTCCTCTACGGATCAGGACACTGGGCAAGGGGCATATGCAAGGAGCCAGCACACAACCTCAGTTCCAGTTCTAACCAGAAATGTGCCTATTTCCAAATTCCTGCTTACAATCTGAAATTTTAAACCCACTTAACTAACTCTATATAGAACAGAAATAACAATCAGCATGCCAGGCAACTCCTGGTAAATGAAGAGTGTAGGTTCAGGCACAGGAGAACAGCTGTCTTTGTTTTGTAACTGGCAGGAAAAGCTACAGGTGCCCACAGGACTGACCTTCTCCTTCAGTTCCATTTCAGCATCTGACTCGTCCAACCAGCGGTCGAAATCGGGTGCCAGGAAGAGTGGGCGCTTCTCCTGCTTGGTCAGCCTCTCCCACCAGTTACTCTCTTTCTTCTGCACAGTGATGTTCAGCTGTCTTTGCGTCATCCTGCACACAGGCTGAGGGCAGACACATCAGCAAAAGTCCAAAGAAACGAGGTCTGAGACTGAGTTGATGCCCAAGCTCCCCTTATCAAGGGGGCAGGGATGACGCAGCTGCTGCAGCACAAACATCTCTCTGCCACCCAAGGCACGGAAGCAAAGGGCAGTGCAGTTGAAGATGGCAGCTGTGATGGTTGCAGGACTTGATGAGCAGTCTGCCCATATCACAGCACCACTGCATCCCACCACAGTGCCAGCCTTCTTAGACAGAGCCCCTGATCTTGGCTTTACACCTTCTTACACTTAGTACTGTGAGCCACCCACCTCCTCTAGCCAGCAGTAAAAATAACACTGCCAGCAGCCACAGGTACTTGTCTAAACAGGAATGTGACCTGTGACACCATGTGACACCTGCTGCAGCAAGAGAAGGAGCTAAGAGCCTTAGGGAACACCTGGAGACAAGGTGAGCTGATAGACTGGGCAGTGTGGTCACTGCCACCCCACAAGGCCTCTCCAACTGCACAGTGGCAGCCCAGAACCTCTCCATCCTTTCAGCCCATGGCACTGTCACCTTGGAGCCCACCCCTCTGACCACCGAGGCTGCTCCATGTGGCACTGCCTCTCAGACCAGCTGAAACTGCTGCACGAGCTGCACTCCAAACTGAGCACATGACACCAGCTCTGCTCTGTCAAGGCTGGCTGGATGCTCCTCAGGCATGTGAAGGCTGCAACTGTAATTTACAGCTACTACACCTCATCCTTGCCTGCCACAGGCTCCATTTCTCACTGCTGGCCAGCCTGGCACCAGCAAGGTGAACTCAGGGTGTACATCAAAACTGACAGAGAAAACCCTGGACTGTGATACTCCCTGGTCCTGACCATCTGTAGCTACACACAGTTCAGCCTGTTCCCCAGTCCCTCCACAGTGACTCAGAGTGACGACTTTTGGAAGGAGGATGCTTTGCAGAGGCAAGGACTTGCCTTCCAGGCCTGGCTCACAGCAGAGCCCGTGTCTGCCAGGCACAGGCAGAGACAGGCACCTCTCCCACACTGTGGGCTAGGGAAATGATAAGGCAGTTACCAACCCTGGAACCAAGAGCCCTTCACTGTCTGCCACTCCACACCTGGCAGGAGCCACACCAGAAATGTACCTGCTGACAGAGCTTGGAAATTCACCCCCAATGGTCTCCTTCCCTGCTGAAGAACAGAGCTGAACGGTGCCTCCTGGTCTGACTGGTGCTATCCTAAACTCAGCCAGGAATAAGCAGCACAAGATCCTGCCCCAGGAGCAAAGCCCAAGTTTTCCTGTGCCCCTAACTGCTCTGAGAAGTAAGGACAGACCTCACAGCCATCTGTGAATAACACAGAGAGATGGCTCTTCCAGCTAAGCTCTTTCCACTCAGACTGCAACAGGAATTAAGGAAAGACTTCTGCAACAGGAGCCACAACATATCACAACCTAATCTGCTCAAACCAGAAACATGAAATCTCCTGACTCTTCTTTTGTCCATCTACAGAAGAAGCCATGAAATACCACACTGACTGCACAATGTTCCCCTGACCTCCAGTCAAGGTTGCATGAGACAACACATTGCCAGATTCTTCCATTATTTTGCTGCTTTAAATCTTTCAAAAACTGCTGTGTAACAAGTGACAAGCAACTGTCCCCTAAAGCTGGTCCATGCAAGCACCAGCTCCGGTGAGGTGATTTGCATTAAGACAAGACAATGGCACACAGGACTGCCACAGAGCTGGCTGTTACAGAGTTACCAGAAAAATTTAAATAGTATATTGGCAACTTTATGCACAGCTGTTTTCCTTTCAAGTTCTTCAAAATTTACTTTTTCTTTGCAAGAATTAGAGAAGTAAAAATACCTACTTTAGGCTCGACTGGCTCGAGGAATTCGATCTCAAATTCATAGATGTTGTCTCCTTTGGCACCGTGACCCTGAGCTAAAAGACAAGAATTGACAGTCAGTGTGAGGTTCCACACACTCCACTGGCAAAGGATGCTTTGTACACAGAAATATTCAGCACCTATTCACAGCACTTTCTTCCTGCGCTCCTGAGAGGCAAGAGAAAACCACACAATAACAGGGAAGACACCGAAACATTGCTTGGAGGGGCAGATGCAGGAGTCAGCAGCTAAAGCTGCTGCAAGTCTGCACCACACTGGGAAAGGGTCCCTGCTGCAGGAAGGCAGTGTGTCAAATTCCCAAAAGAGGGGATCAAAAGGCTGCTCATGGATAACTCAAATCCAGCTGAAAATCTCTTGCCTCTGGAGGATCCAGCCTGTGCACAATGGAGCACACAGGGAGATGGGTGCTGCTGGGTGTGTAGGAGGGTGATGTGGGGAGTCCCTCCCAACAGCAGAAGGGCTTCATCTGTCTTCTGTCATCTGGGCTTCATCAGGGTTCATCTGTCACCTCCCACATTGATCCTGTCCCTGTAAGGGCTCCAAAACTGCACACTGTGTTTAATTCCCACTCTTCCATGCTGTAAACTGATCCCAAAGAGAACATGATGTGCAACACCCTCCTATCAAATGGCCTGGCAGCCACAGCTCACCAAGGATGCAGCAGCTCCTAATGAGACATCTTAAAAAACTCTGTGGTGCTGGAAGGTGCAGCTGTCCAGCTGCAAAAAACCCATCTTTCAGGGCGAGATGGTTTAGTTTCCAAATGGAGCACTAGTTCCTGATGTGGAGGCTCGATAAGAATTGTACATGAGGTCTTTGTGAAAGGAAAAATTGCTGTGAGTTATCTCCAGGGTTTGGCTAGCCCGGGATGGGAAGGATATATGGAAATTCCACTGGTATTTAAATACAGAGAGGTTGGGGTTTTCTCATTAGATAAGATAGGGCCTGTTGTGGTTTCCAGGGCTGGAACACAGAAGGCTGTGGGTGGGAGTGTGACGGATCTGAACATGCCCAGCACGGTGGCTCCTGCCACTGATGGGAACCTGGCACCCCACGATGGGGACACAGCCAGCGGCAGCCCCGGGGTGGGGGCCAGGCTCACACCCCCCGCTGGAACCCTTACCTCTGAAGCGCAGGACATTGTCGGTGATGGTGATGTCCGGGTTCTGCAGAGGAAAAACGTGAATTAGTTGGCAGCTCAAGAACCCTCGGGGGGCAGTGCACCCAGCCGACGGGGACCCGCCGGCCCCACACCGGCACTGCCCTCCCCGGACCGCCGACCCCG